GAAGGAGCTACCGTTGGCTAGGGACCAAAGCACAAAATGGTATTTAGAATCTCTGGCATGCCTCAATGATCCAAGCTTGTCAGAGGAAAGGATTGCGCTCGCAAAAACTATTTCACTAATTTTCATAATTGATGACATCTTTGATCTTTACGGGACACCTGATGAACTCACTCTATTCACACAAGTTGTCAACAGGTATCAATCAACCTACACATGAGATATTATACACATAGTTATAGATATACTTTTTCTGTTTATTTTTAGTAGAGTTAGTTTGATTTTTTAACTTTAAAATATGAATTTTAAATAAAAATTTATCAATTTATATAAATAATAATTAAATTTTTTATAAAATAAAACTGCTTAATAATAACTATATATAGGGACAAAAAATTTTCAATTGTTGTTAATATAGATTGTTAAATTTTCATTCAAAATTTATGTCTTAAAAGTAAAAAAAATCAACTAGATCTACTAAAAATGAACGGAGAGAATATATAATATGAAACTTTAAGAAAAAATCAAGACATTTTGAGAACTAAAATGCTAAGAAGGATAATAAAAAAACCAAAATCCCTTTAATGAATTAAAAAAACCAATATCCCTTCAATGAGTCAACACATGAAAAATTTTTATTAAAAGTATTTAAATAATTTTACAAAAAGTTCCAACATTTAAGGTGTCAATAAGTCATAATTTTGATTTTTTTCATATTTCAATTCCCACTTCTGAAAAAATTGAAGTCCCAATTTCAAAAACATAACCATGCAATGAATATTTTTAAAAATCAACAATTAAATTTAGTTTTTCATTGATATAGATCATACATATCAATTTAAAAATTAATTGAAAATATATAACTAGCTAGTGCATTCATTATACACAATTTAACATTGTTAAATATATACTATTTTTTTTTATCAACAAAAATCAACTTTATAATGCAGAGTACAAGGGGTACTCTAACCCATTTACAAAATTAAATCATACCCAATGAATACAAAATAGTAATAAGGAAAACATCTGGCTACTTCTACCTCTATACCCTTCCTTTTTGGTTCAAATGGAACTCCTTTTGCCTCCTCTTATGATTTCTCATAGCTGCAACACACCCATGCAGATTTAACTTCCAATCACTAACAGAAAATACACACCCCTGCACCTTATTCTTGATCCAGAAAAAAGTCTTTTCCTGTATCATAGCCAACAACCCCTCCCTAAAAGCCACATCTCCCTTGAAAACTCTATAATTCCTCCAATACCATATATACCATGATGTAACAAGAAAAAGACTTGCTCCCAATTCCTTCCCTACCACCTTACCCAACCCATACAAGAAAAGTTTTGCTACCCCCTCCAAAATAGCTGGCAACACGACCTCAATACCCCACCAAGACAAAACCTTAACCCAAATTAACCAAACTTCCTTACATGTACAAAACACATGATTAGTATCTTCCACCTCCTCATTACACAGCCCACACAATAAGCCCCCATCTAACACCACCCCTCTCTTTTGCAAACTCCATTTTGTTGGAAGTCTCTAAAGGCATAATCTCCACCCAAAGAAACTTACTTTAGAAGGTACTAAGCGACACCAAATTAACTTACACAACCAATCATTAAGAATAGATTCCGTCAATTCTAAAAACTCATAAGCTTGTTTCACCACGTACTTCCCATTTGAAACATGAATCCACTGCCAACGATCTTCAACCCCCACCTTAATACCAACTCTACTCAACACCTCCCACAACTTCAATTCCTCATCCTTCTCTCTTCCAAACCTCCCTCTCCTCCAAATTATATTCCACCGCCAACTACCCGCCTCCCAACCCCCCATCTCACTTACTAATCCCTCCTTATTTATGGCCAACTCAAACAATCTAGGACACAATTCCCTTAAAGATTTCTCCCCCACCCAAACCGACCTCCAGAACCCCACTCGATAACCCTCCCCTACCACCCATTTGAATCCCTTGACCAACATATCTTGTAATCTTACAGATCGTTGTCCTATACTAATAATATCCCTCCAAATCCGAGATACCCTCACACTCTCCAATGCCATAATATCTACTTCTTCCCTGCCCCCATAATATTTCTCCCACACCACCTTCTTCCACAAACCCTCCACCCCATCCTTTAATCTGAACCACCATTTCCCTAATAATGCCCAATTTTTCTACGTAAATCTAGCACTCTTAGACCTCCCTTCCTCTTTCTGAAACAAATATAATCCCATTTAACCCAAGGAATTCGCCGCTTTAACTCCACCCCACCCCACAAAAAAGCCTGTTGAATACTAATCAACTCCGAAACCAAACAATTCGGCATTAAAAATAATGACATATAAAAGATAGGGATAGCAGAGAGTAACGAGTTGAGTAGAGTGATGCGGCCACCAAAGGACAGCGTAGAAGACTTCCAAATGGCAAGCTTGGCTCGAAATTTTTTTAGAACCGGTTCCCACATCTTCTTACACCTAATCTTCCCACCAACCGGCAACCCCAAGTACATAAAAGAAGTTTCCCCAACACCACAATGTAAGACACTTGCTGCCCCTTTAATCCACCTTTCTGACACATTGAACCCGACCACACTACTCTTGGAAAAATTAATCCTTAATCTAGACATCAACTCGAAACATCTTAAAATGGTCTTAACTGCAAATATATTTTCACTGTTAGCATTCCCCAAAATCACCATATCATCAGCAAATTGAAGCAAAGAAACAGTTAACCCCTTATTATCCACTGTTGGGCCATGTAACATTCCTTCAGTTTCTGCTCTCCTAACTAACCCATTTAACCCCTCAGCAACTATCAGAAAAAGAAACGGTGATAACGGGTCACCTTGCCTTAAACCTTTTCCCATCACAAACTCCTCCATTGGACTTCCATTAACTAATACCGAAATCCTTGCTGTTGATAGACATTCTCTAATCCACCCACGCCATTTCATTCCAAAGCCCATCCTGCACAGCATCCAATCCAAGTATGCCTAATCTACACAGTCATAAGCCTTTTCAAAATCAGCTTTAGAAATGAAGGCCTTCTGTTTCTTCGACTTGACCTCATCGACCACCTCATTTAGAACTAGAACACTATCAACCAATTGACGACCCCCCAGAAAAGCAGATTGAGTGTCATTAATTATCCCCGACATTACGCCCTTTAGCCTATTAGCCAGCACCTTAGCCAGTAACTTATACAGACATCCAATCAAACTAATAGGTCTAAAATCCTTTAATTCTAAAAGATTCAACTTCTTAGGAATTAATGTAATGAAAGAAGAATTTAATCCTCTTACTAACCTGCCATTCTAGTGGAATTCCTCAAAAAAGCTCATAAAATCCTCCTTCAAACAATTCCAATCAAATTTGAGAAAACTAAAATTGAATCCATCCGGCCCGAGTGCTTTAGTTCCCTCACAGCTCTTCAATCCTTCCTCAATCTCCTCTTCAGAAAATGGCCTTTCTGACTCCACTTTCATCTCTTCCGAGATCTGTTTAAAATTGATTCCGACCGGCTTGGGACATTGCCATGATTCTCCGTCAAACATCTTACTAAAGTACCTGACAACCTCTTTCTTCACCTCCTTTGGCTCCTCCACCCACTTGCCTTCACACGAAAAACCATTAATGTTATTATAAACCTTTTTACCATTTGCAACTTTGTAGAAGAACCTCGTATTAGCATCCCCTAATTTTGCCTAGCTACATCTTGATTTCTGCTTCCATAAAATATCCCTCTTCTTCATAATATCCCACATTTCATGAAAGCCTTCTTGTCTTTTAGCCAACTCTTCCACTTCTAAATCAACCTCTTCATTCTTCATATCAATCCGAGCAACCTTATCCACAGCAGCTTGAAATATATACTATAATTTATATGTGTGATTTATATCAATAAAGCATTAAATTAAAATATTAATTTTTGAAAATATTCACATGAGAGGTGTTTTTGAAGTAAGAATTCTAATTCTTTTATGAAAACCGAAACTAATATGTACTATTATATATATATATATACACACACATACTCTCTAATGAATATTTTCAAAAAATAACTATGAGATTTAATGTTTTATTGATATAGATCATAAATATCAATTTTAAATTAATCTAAAATCTAGAATCATTTGATCAAGAAATTAGTATTTTCTAACAAACATTTAATGGTAGTAAATTTTTTATAAGCAATAAACTAGTTATCTACATTCAATTAATTTAAAAATTGATATGTGTGATCTACATGATTTAAAAACTATATCTAATGGTTGACTTTTGAAAATATTTATTGGAATATATTGTTTTTGAAGTTGGAATTTCATTTTTTTTTAGAGTCGAGACAAATATAGACTATTCTTATATATGTATATATAATAGTATTTATCCGTTATACCTTTAAAAAATTAAAAAAAAAAATATTTTCAAACTATATTGTTTCAATAAAATATCATTAAAAAAAGATTAACAAAAGTCTGATTCATTATTTAAAAATAAGATATTTTAATTTTTTTCAATGGAAGTTTATTAAAATAACGTAGTTTTAAAATAAATATTCTTAAGTTTTTAAAGATAAGACAGGTAGATAATATTCTTATATATATATATATAACAAAATTATATATATTAACAGATTGACCCATTTCCTTGCATACATATATATATAGATGGCATTATACAGACATGGACCAACTGCCAGACTGCAAGAAGATATGCCTCAAAGCTCTTGATGAGATAACTAAAGAAATTAGCCACAAGGTGTACAAGAAGCATGGATGGAACCCAATTGATTCCCTAAGGAAGACGGTACGTATCAATCGTAGCCCACGTTATCAAGGGATTTAATAAACATACGCTCAAAAAAAAAAAAAAAAATAAACATTCAAAACTAGCTTACGAGTGATTCCCTCATATATGGCTGCAGTGGGCAAGTTTATGCAATGCATTTCTGGTGGAAGCAAAATGGTTTGCTGCGGGGGAGATCCCAAAGCCTGAGGAGTACTTGAAGAATGGGATCATCAGCACAGGAGTATATGTGGTGCTAGTACACGTTTTCTTTCTGTTGGGTCAAGATATTACCAAGGAAAATATGGAGTTAATAAACAACAATCCAGGCATAATATCATCCACGGCCACAATTCTTCGACTCTGGGATGACTTGGGAAGTGCCAAGGTAAGATAACTCATTCAACCATTTGCTACATATGCAAGATGAGAGAGTTATCTTGTAACGCTTTTGTATAAGCATACTGTAGGATGAGAATCAAGATGGCCGAGATGGATCTTATGTGGATTGCTACATGAAGGAACATAAAGGCATTACAATGGAGGATGCACGCCAACATGTTATGCAAATGATTTCAAAGGCTTGGAAGCAGCTGAACCAGGAGTTCCTCTCTTCAAATCCATTTCCATCTTCATTTAGGAGGGCTTCCCTCAATATTGCAAGAATGGTTCCCCTAGTGTACGGTTATGATAAAAATTACTTAAAAAGCATGGAGGAGTATGTGGAATCCATTCTCTGTGAAAGGACCTAAACCAAAAAAATGGCTATTATGTAACTTTCTAATGGACATCTTAATAATTAAGAGTTTAAATCTTTATATAAGAAATTTCAATTCAAATCTTAAAATATGTAAAGAAAACTATATTGAATTTCTAATAAAATTGAAACTTTCAATTTAATGAATGGTAGCTGGGGGATGGGCCGCGGGGGACTTATCTGTTAGGAAATTTAACACTACTTTGATACTACTCCTTGAGAAAAATCCCTCATTTATGTTTTTATACCAATAATAGTAACGTACAATCATGTTTCATGAATTGAAAAAATCTACTCCTCTATGAAGAAAGATAATTGCTTTGAAATTGGACGAGCCATAAATTTCTTACCTCGGGTGTGTCACAGCTAAGTCTCCCAGTCCCTTATCATATGACAAGGCACAGATCGATTTATGTGGGCCTCAAATTAATGGTCAAATGATACAAGAAATTGGAGATGGTCGAAGTTACATGAAAGGTTCTTCATTAACGTAACTTTCACCCACATCTAATCACAATTCAAATTATATATCATGTTTGGTTCTCGTTATATTAGCAGACCAAATCTTATTTTTAACTTTTTCAAATCCGACTAACTTCTGGTTGCTGAGTTGCAGCAAGGAAATTTATAGCTGGACATACTAACAAGACTTCAGTACTTTAAGTCTTGTGTTCTTATCAATAAAGATACCCTCTGGAGGTGGTAAGATTAAGTTAATTAACTCGACCAGAATTTTTTTTTTTTTAAACTTTAATAATTACAAGGAAAAGAAGTGGGGAATTTTACGAGGCACGTGTGAGATACTGAAACCTTTTCATGTTCACCCACAAGGCAAAGTGGCTTTCGCCATGCTTGCCCTACAATTGGAGAACTAACTGGACCAAAATTTGAGTAAGTGATTATTCATTGTTTTAATTTGATGTCTGGATAATTATTTAGGTGGTGGAGCAATCTGGGACTAATGAAAGAATTGAGCTTCAACCGGTTGGCTGAAGCTGAAAGTTTCTTTTGCACAGTTGGAGTTGTCTATGAACCTCAATACAGCAGTTTATGAAAATGGCTAACAAAAGCCATCACTCTAATATTAATCATAGACGATGTTTATGATATTTATGGCTCACTTGAAGAAATAGAGCACTTCACAAATGCTGTTGACTGGTAAATATATCCCCTTTTTTTTGTTAGAGGGATGATATTCCTCCTTAAATCTAGGTTCAAATGGTAGCTAGTACGGTAAGGAGTGAATTTCGAGTTTTGAGCTAGTACTCACAAAATTAAAATTTAATTTTTTTTTAAATCTAATAAGTCAATATGAATGTGTCTTTAAAATCATCAAAGATGCAATAATTTTGAAATAAAATGTAAGCTAGTCTCAAAATACACTAATAATCCGAACTAAAAGAAAAAGTATGGAGTGGCGTGGACTATGTCAAAAAACTAGTTCCAATCCCTCAATAACAACACCTGCAGCCTTGGCTGCAATGCATTGTGGTTACAGTCACTAATCGTTTTGTTAAGTTATCAAAATTTGACTAACAATTATATTGTTTTTAACTATCAAATCAAATAGAATCAATATTTTTTAAATAGAGTTTGATGACCTTAATAAAACAATTGG